TTACTTCATCCTATCCTCCGCCGCTGTGTCAGTCACATGATGAAATATGCAAAAACTTTGTGGGAAAAAAACAGTACGTGAAACTCTTCTATTTGTAGATATCCATATTACTGGCATGAAGTCTTCATGTTGGGAATGCTAGGATTTGTCCCTAGTGTGGCCAGGAACTAAAAGCTGGCCATGCACATGTCTGGACTATTGACACCAGCAAGTTTCATCAGTGAGTTGGATGAAATGCTCTCCAGCTGCACTGTCATCTTTTCAAGCCATGCCAGCTCTGAAAATGTTAAGAAGCACTTTCACACCTTTAAAGCTGTGCTGACAACCACTGGGGACTCAACTGTTGATGACAACAGCATCGTTCCTGAGGACCTTGAGGTACAGGCAAAACACACAATGACTGAGTCTGAAACTCACAGATGTAGTCTAAAATTTTTTTTTTTTTTTTTAGGACACCTTAAGTGTAACAAATTTTTAAAAGCACTTGATGGATGTCATAAGCACCAAGAAAGGGACTCTAATGTCTACCACTGTGAGACAGTCATACAATCATCTCCTCGCTGGCTGCTCACCTCTTGCCTCAGGCACCTCGTTGGACAAGTATGATGCTGGGTCAGTTACAGATACCAGGTAACACCATTAGTGGATTTCCAGGGTGTTGTTATTCCTTCACCCTAACCATCCCATCACATTTCCTCTGCCACCAAACATCTTCTTCAAAATAAATTAGATGTTTTGTTGTGACATTTGGGAAGCATATTCATAATACCCCCGACAATTAACCCAGTCAGCTTTGATTATGTCATCAACCACCATTTTCCCGATACTTGCCGTCCCCATAAATGCCCCAGGCAAGTGCCCATTATATAATATATACAGTTATATACTGTGCAGATATGATGTAGAGTATGAAGTATGTAGAGATCTGTCTTCTATCTCCGCACAAGATCTAAAAGTAATGTGGTACATCTTCAGGTGAACTGGGCAGGCATGGTGAAGGACTCCCTTACCAGCAATTCTCAAAGCAATTTTCCAGACGTCAGAGAAAAAGAGTGAAGCCAGGAGAGTTCAAACCTATTACTTTTCTCCTAAAATCGAACAAAATCCATAATAAGATACTTTAACCCTCATTATTTTCTTATCAGAATTTCACACCGGACAACAAGACACAAGGAATAATGGAAAAGAGTCATTTGGACTGGGAACAAATCGGCTTTAAATTAAGATGACTGACCAGACTTGAAGACTTCATTAAGACCTACAAACCATGTGACAAAGTTGGTGAGAACACACCATTTGTCCCCATTTTTGTCAGAACTGCCATATTGTGAACTAATTTAATGTTAATTGTCTTAACCATAGTTCCATCATTGACCAAAAGCTTGTCGACACGCAACTGGTTTGTTTGTGTTTTGCGTTTCGTTTGGTTATGCCCAAATATTTCCTGTATCTATACAGTGGGTTAAATCAACAGTGATATCACTGGGGTAGAACAAGTATGAGGGGAGGTTAAATAGGGAAAGGCTCTGTCGCAGCCCTAGTTTTTCTCCCTTGTTTGTTGTTTCCTTGTCCCCCCTTGTGTCTCCTCCTCCCCTTCTGTGCGTGTGTGTGTGTGTGTGTGTTTAATGTATAAAGGCAAATAGGAAGCTGGCGGCCGGTAGACAGAGGTGAAGCAGGAAAGGGTGGAGACAGGCTAGAGGTAAAGGCAGGAGTGAGAGCAGGGAGGTTTGCAGCTGTGGCTGTGTGGCCAGTGTAGGCTGACTGAAGGAAGGCACTGGTATTCTGGGCACAAGGAGACACAGGGTAGAAGGTGAGCTCAAGGTGAACAACTGATGAACACAAGAGTTTTATTCTAGAGACAAGAGCAATTGAGAGCATAGCTGCCACTTAGTACACTGAACAATCTGGAGATGAGTGGAGAGTAGCCAGGTTCTTGAGGTGGAGCTTGATGAGAAGATTAGTTGCAGGTGTCACGTGAAGCCAGGAGTTAAAAGCCAAACCCACACACATTCTTACACACACACACACACACACACACACACACACACACACACACACACACACACAGGCCCAATCACAATGTCCGCCCTAAAACCTAAGCCCTGAACCCTCATAGACTTAATTGATGTCACCTGATAAGTGATTGAGTGTGAGGGGCTGCAAGAGCCCAGCACTTAGTGACATATCACGTCACCTTGACAATGCCAAAACATGTTGCGTATGATTATGGGTCTGGAACTTTTGATTTACATTTATTTATGCCCTGTACCTTTCCATGTTCGCCCAGAGACAACAGCTCTGCTCCAGCATCTGTACAATGAGTTTGGGTGGGCTTTGAATCGTGATGTTGCATTCCAACGTGTGAAAGCCCTTCTAACACAGAAGTCTGGCCTAGTACTCACATACTGCAACCACGCTAAAGGAGTGAAACTGCAGGTCAATGCCTATACACACGCAGCTGAATACATTGCATATGCATTCAAGGCACTAAATGACACAACACTACGCTCAGATTGAAAAGGAGCTGTATGCAGTACTCTTTGGATGCAAGCAGTTTCACCATTACCTGTACAGACAACAGGTGATTGTTGAGTTGAACTAGACTCAATCATGCTTAATGCCGGGAAGACACTGCCTGCTTTGTGTGTGTGTGTGTGTGTGTGTGTGTGTGTGTGTGTGTGTGTGTGGGGCAGCTGCCGTTGTTAAACTGCTGTGGAGAAGCATGTGTGTGTTCACACCAGCTGCGTGTGAGTTTGCAGGCTACTGGAATGTTGGATTCCTTTTTGTTCTAAATTAATTTCTGATTATTTCTCCACATGAAGCTGCTAAAATAGTTGAAGAATATATTTATATTTTGTCTCTGTCATATTCAGATTCAGCCTAGACATAGACAACTATAGTGGAAGGTGTCAGTTTTATGTAATGTTGCTGGTATGATGTCAATATCACATCAACAGGTCTTTTCTCTGTCTATTTCTGCTGGGAGACATGTCACATGCCGAATCCCTATATCGCCTGATGCAGTGTGTCCACTCTAACCTGTTAACATGTGCGCCAAAATGAAAACCAAGACATTCCACAGCCGCCATGCTCACGCCATGCATCCAGTGTGTTCTTGGCCCAAGCCCCTGACAGCTGCAGTTAGTGCTGTGACCATACTCTGAGTGAAGGTATGGCCTCTCAAATACACACTGTGATTAGCAACGGGCGTCACCTCCTACAAACTTATGGGGTAATAGAGATCAGGAAGTTCCCTCAAATGGTCACAAGCTGGAGCCTGAGGACACTGAAACTAAGACTTTGCAACAGAACAGATCAGACAGGCCCCAGAGAGTCAAGACACTGTGCTACCACAGGGTCAGCCCAGAACTACATGAGACCTTTGAGGTATGAAATTAAATGAAAAGACACTTAAAAAATGCTAATGTGAAAAACCAAGAAATGTGGATAAAATGCAACACTAACTGTGTACTCTGTCGAACCTGAATGTTAAAACTGAATGTTGTTTACACGATGACATCTTGTTCTGTTTCATAAGGACCAAGAAATGCTCTAGCTGAGTTCCATCAGGGCAATCTAGATGTTACATTTCTAACTGCTAAGGTTCTACTGCAGAAGTGTTAATGTGATATTGACACAACAGCCATTATATTTCCCTCATTGATACAGTGCCTGTGCACATTTGGTAGATACAGTTGCCTTGCAGATTGAATTTATTTTGTAACACCTGAAATTTTGTAATTTGAGTTAGCAGCTATACCCATAGTTTTGTTTTCAAAAGAGGGGGGATGTAATATCCTGAATACGCTTTGATTCAGCCAACTGTTAATGATGTTGCTGACGACGTACTGACACGTGCCACAAGGCAAAACTGTTCCCATCTAGAGCATGGGCGCCCGCAGTGAGACTGATGTGCATTGTCTATTTATTTAGACAAATGAGTGTCAATAGAACAAAATTTTACAGTACAGAGCTGACCACTGCTTTACTTGATAAAGATACCTAAAAACAGATCTGCTCTTTGTCTTCGTCTTGATCTTGGGTCCACATCTCCATTATTACAATAGTAGAGACACAAGACCAGGACACACCAGACACAGGCCTGCCACTGTCCATGGTGCTGAAGCTCTGCAGCTTCACATCATTACAAGTCAAATCAATAATCAGGTCAGTTTAGTTCAGTCTCTTCCCCATTTGGTTGTAGTGTTTATTATTTTCTCCGTATGTTTGAGGTAAACACAAGAAACTTGTGCTACAGAAAATGGACCAGACTGAGTGAATAGCTCCCTATTCTTAACATCCTAAGTCCTGTGATAACTATTAATTTAGCTATACAGACTAATGAGCAGTGATAACTAACATGTCTTTGGGGTCATCAGGTGGGAACCTCCTTTCACCAGTGTTTCGTATAGTTGGTCCCAAGACACCTCCAGGAGGCTAGACAGTGATCTTTGTGCAACCAAGTTAAAGTTTGATACAGAGACTAAAAACAAGATCTGCTCTCGATCCTTTAATTCTTATTTTGGGTCAAAGACAGTTTGGGTAGGCCCTACAGACTAAACAGTCCAGATCAAAACCAGGATCAAAATCAGAGAGTTTTAAAAAAACAACAACAAGCAGGCGGACGTGAGAAACAGGTAAAGAAAAGGTACATAATTGGTCTTACATTATTAATGCATCCACGAAGTTAGGAAGGAACCTTTCATGCCTTAATTAGGATTCTGTTTATGGAAAATACAAGTGAAAACAGGAAAACTAATTATATGAACACTTCCTTCTCTAAATTTAGCCTTACTTCCAGGTTCCAATTGTTGTATAATAATAATTACACAAACAATACATGTTACAATAATTATTATTTTTGAGTAACTATCTGTGGCTTTGCTTTAATTCTTCGATGGTTTTATTTTATTCTGAAATTAACGTACCGGAAGTCGTATAGTTGTCACGCTCAAAACTTTGCTAGTGTCTCCGCGTCATTGATCTTTACACAGTGAACCATGGTGATTAGCTTGACATTGAGCCGACGGCTGCCGTCTCGTTGGCCCGGCCTCCTGCGGTGCTGCAGTACTAACACAGAAAGCTCCGCCAGAGTAAGTTGTTTCAAAAACAGTTTTACATTTGCTCGTTTCTTTAGTGGTCACATGTTGAACCAACGTAATATCTAAATGCAGCAGCACCATGTCGAGGGTTTCATGTGTTTAGTGCAGAGACAATCTTCGTTTCCTACTGTTGCTTTAGAACGCAAATAACAGATTAATAACTCTGTGACATAGCTAAACTATTAACGCACGTTATGCAACAGCTTCCTGTTAACCAAGCTGTTATCGTAGCAACCCCTTTTCAACTAGATTAGCGATATTTGAAACAATAAAACTAACCAGTAACGGTAATGTAACCTTCTTGAAAGGCTGACGTTAGCTTAGTCTTTAGCTGCACCTTTTGAGGACTTGTGGGATAATGATTGGTTACCTGTGAGGTTGCTAGCAAAGTTGTTGTAGCACAGGTCGTGTGGCAGCAGGGTTGAGCGATATGGGCAAAAATATTATCACGTATTTTCATATTGATCCATATTTAATTCCATTAATGAGGAAGGAAACACAGTCAACATACAGTATTTGTTATACACCAAGGATACAACACAATGTGTTTAGGGGAGTAACACTGAATATATATATATACTCTACAGGATCCCTTTTAATTTGAAATTTAAGTACATCCTAAAACAAAACAGTTTTATCAAAAAGCGTAAGTTAAATTGTTTCACAAACATAACATTACATTCTAAACACAGCAACATTGTTGGATCCAACTGTCACCTTTGTGAAGTGCAACAATATGTAAGAAAAGTCTAAATTAGTTTGTATTATTACTCAAAACGCTTGTTGCCTTGTTGCTGCTGGACTCAAAAGTTTCAGCATTCAAATTTTTTTAGGCTTAGAGATACCATGTCACAGTCAAAATGGTACAAACCTTGATAAAAATCACTGATTAAATGTGTTTTAATACCTAAATCTCTATTGACATTTTTATTTTTATGCACTCCCATAAGAGTTGTGGCAGGATGTGTGATTTGAGTCGTTATCTATCTTAGATTGTAACAAACTTAGCACCACAAAGATGCATACATTTCCAGAAATAACATTTGAATTAAATGATGTACTGTTGTCAGAAGAGGATGAAGGGAAGAAGCCTTGATACTTCAGCGCACACCTGAGGTAACGTGTAGACAAAGTAGCAAGGTAGGGTGCACTGTGCAGGTCAGGAAAATGTTTATGTGTTAGCAACAGTCCAGTACCAGGAGTGCGGCCTCATACCTATGACCAAATCACAGCCGTGCTGATATTCAGTACATCACTCCCTCTTGTATGATATTGCTTAAATAACACATTTACAATTGAGAGTTAGTTTTTTTTTTTTGTTTTTTTTTTTTAAGGCGAGATTTGTTTTGATACTGCCACCTTGTTGAAGCCACAGTCAGTGGACAACAGACAACACAACCTCGTAGTTGTGTCATAGTCATTAAATGCCAGCGGATCCACAAGCCTTCTCTCAATTCTGCAATATGATATTTGTCTGATGGAAGTTCTATATGTACTGTATGTACATGTAGGTACTAACAGGAAATCACAGGTGGTACACGTCACAGGACAAACCAGCCTTATCTTCACACTTGATGTGGCCTGGGACAGACCCTCCACAACAAAACCTGTAGAGTAAAACATCAAGCTTCACAAGGGCTGTAGAACAAAGACTCTAATAAATAGCCAGTCAACATCATCGCATCCAATTAAGAAGCTTACAATAGCTTTTAGAAAGAGATATGTGTGTCAAGTTTGTCATCACCCAGAGTTCTGACGCACTAAATCAGCAGATTTATGGAAGACCATGTTTCCCTCCAGCCCTAGAAATCAAGCTCTTACTCTCTGCTGTTTATACCCATCTTCATCTCAACTGAACTAAATAGAATAAAGCAAACTCATTCACAGGAAAAGACTGGTTCAACTCTAATGCACTGTACTGTATTTCCTCTACAATTTTCAGGTGTGGTAAATGGGATAGAGGTGGTGATGATGTCGATTTAAAAAAAACAAAAAAACAACAACTATTTAACAATAACGAATAGTGATGCAGGTACTGGATTCCTTGGTATGGTATGGTGATATTTTTTTAAATTAAGTTTTTATGTAATATACTGTGTGTCATATTATGACATGTGGTTAAAAACACTTGTACATCAGACTTGTATAAAAGACAGAGATCCATTCCTATCTTGATTGAATTAACCTGTAGGAAACAGTATGGTGAAGTTATGCTCGAACTCCATGGTGTGAACATTTTTGCTGAAATACTTTTGCAGTACCGCAGAATAACTGCAAAATGTACTGCACAGCTGAAGCTGTGGCTGCAGTTGTGGTTGAATATATAATGCTATGGATATGGCTATGGTAGCTGTACTGAAATTATGTTTTACTGCTCCTATTAACATCAGCACTCACAGCTCTGGCTGTGGTCACAACCAGCCGCGCTCTACTACATAATACTACATGATACTATACCATAATACAGATCTGCCTCCATTGTTCAGGAGGAATGCAAAACTTAATGTGAGGCAAAACAAAAGTTATTGGGAGTCACCACAAAGTTAGTTTAGAAAAAAAGTCCAGTTATTTGCAATTATTTTGCAATCATAACCTGTAGTGATGACCTTTCTGCTGGGCTGTTTATCCAGCTTTAGAAAAATGAACCATTTCCAAATCACCAATGTCTTGTAACCTCTCCTCGCCACAGTTTTCTTTATCTTGTGTGGCCATGTGACTCCTCGTGGCTGGCCATGTGTGTCAGCTACATAACTGTATTAATAGAGTGATGGTTGTCCCTGTGTGGGACTGTCTCATCCACTGTGTGGTGTATAGTCCTGGAAGCTCCCAGAGAAAACTGCTGGGAAGTTGAGCTAGGGCAATTAACCAGACGTACACAGGTAGTTCTCAACCTGAAAGTCTTTTTCTTCTATAAGAGAATACTATTGTTTGAAGCACTTTCAGTTAAACTAGCGATGGGTGAATGAAGCCTAATTCTTTGGGACTTACTTTCTATTTGTGCAGGAGAAAGATTTATAGCTTTGAGGCTTCAAATAAAGGAAGTATAGCGACATCTGGTGGTTTACAAAGTATACAGCAGCCCCTCAAGACTGTAGTGGAAGCACAACGAGACCTCACTGATTTTCATAGTTTTAGTCTCGTGTGTCAATAAAAGTCTGTTAATACTTTATGTGCTGCATTAAATTTAGATGTGACTGTGCAATACGTCACAGTAAAACAATTAATGAATACATTGTCCAGAAAGCCTGGATACCAAATATTTTTGATGACACAAACTGTTACTACATATTATTGGTATAGTTTAGGCCCAGTATCACTGTGTTTCAACTTCATGGTTGATATTTATGTAACATCTCATGAGTTACACTGTGATGCGATTGGAGAAAGATATTCATTATATTTAATTTAATATTTACCACTAATGTCCTTCATATTAGATACATGTTAAACTGACTGGTTTGAATAGAGTTTGACGTGTTGTTCTCTCTAAATAAAAAAGCTGAGCTTTTCAGGGCCAGTGTTCAAGTCAAGTGTACTATTTTATATTTCATCTTTACCTCCCACTCTCTTGTGGTGACTCACTGCCCTTCACTGTGTGTATCTTTATGTATGTATGTATGTATGTATGTGTGTGTGTCTGTGTCTGCACAGAGTGCTGTTCTGGACAATGTGCTCTCTACGTTCAGGTCTATATGTGGTGAGGACAATGTCTCATTGGGTGAAGCTGTCAGAGAGCAACATGGCAAAGATGAATCTGTACACAGGTTAGTCTCTTTCACTTTGTCACACAGACACACACTTATGGTACAACAAGTTGTGTGACATTACACAAAAAGGAAATGGTGCCTCAACAGACATGCTAAAAGCTAAAAATATATGGTCAAGGAGGTGAAAGAAATGTTACAAAGCAGCATTAGGACATTCATACTGTGTCATTGAAGCCTTGCAGACAGCTGGAGCAAAACAGATGTTTAGCACACACAGATAAAGACACATTTAAATAAGATCAGTGTGCCACTTCCAGTGAGCTTCAGGGTGTATATGCACTATGCATCCCGTGTCGGTCATATTCAATGAACCTGATTAAATATGAGGAGAGCTGTCTGTTCTTCTCCCTGTTAGTGTTTTAAAACTACATCAGTAGATTTCTGCCCACTATTAAGTTGTCAAACCAGATAAGTTAGCAAACAGTTGTGTATTTACACATCCAGCAGATACAGGGGAATATTAGTATTCATGTGGTATTGTGACAACCTTACCCATTGTTGTTTCATTCATTGTTTATATAAAACTATATTGCTGCTGTCCAGATGTTGTCCCCCAGATGTGGTGGTGTTTCCTCGTTGCGTGGAGGAGGTCAGTGCCCTGGCCAAAGTTTGCCACCACCACCGCTTTCCCATCATCCCTTTTGGCACCGGGACTGGCCTGGAGGGAGGGGTCGGCGCAGTGAAGGTGAGAGAACGGAGGCATCTGTGTGTGTGTGTGTGTGTGTGTGTGTGTGTGTGTGTGTGTGTGTGTGTGTGTGTGTGTGTGTGTGTGTGTGTGTGTGTGTGTGTGTGTGTGGATGTGTGGATGTGTGTGAAGTGATACTTTGGTATAGTAAGGGCAGTAATAAAATCAGTGGAGCCATATCAATTACTGAGAGCAAGATTTTAACTGAACTTAAAATTTCATCCTGTGAAATCACTAGTTACAGTGTGTATGATAATTTCAAAATAACAGAAGTAGAACCTTAGAACAGTAATTTACAACGGACAATCTAAAAACACAGTATAAGTATTCATGTACTGTATGTCTACATGTGTCTTCCTTCTGCTCCCAGGGCGGTGTGTGCTTCAGTCTGAGGAACATGGACCAGGTTCTGGATCTCCACCAGGAGGACTTTGACGTGACAGTGGAGCCCGGGGTGACTCGGAAGGCCCTCAATGCCTACCTCCGAGACACCGGCCTGTGGTTTCCTGTTGGTCAGTCACACTGTCTCCCAGCTCTCATTGTATTTTTTAGTAGCTCAGTGCGAAACCTGAGTATTTTAAATTAATTATTTTTAATAAACACCCACAGAAGAAATTTCTTATAAAACTGTTGAATCTGAATAGTAACATAAACTATTAGGAGGCCATGAAGTTCTGTCAAAACTACTTACTACAAGTCCTCCTCCTAGTCCCTCCTACATCACTGTGATTCATTATGTCCATCAGTAGAACAACAGTCCTCCTCCTTCCTGTCCTGCCAAGGTTTACAATGTAATTCACTAAATCAAACCACGAAAACAAAACAAAAAACGCAGCTAAATACTAGACTTGCTGTTGCTCTCCTCCGCTGTGTGCTGCCATGCCCTCTGCAGACACACATGCCAACAAATTGACAATGTTTGGTGCTACAGGGTCATGTGACCACTCATTGGAAACGTATTGCTGTGAGCTATAACAAGGCTTTCACAAGAATTAATTTGGGGTTAAGTTCTCCATTATGACCAGCAGATGGCACAAAACTCAGTGTGTTCTTCAGTGAGGCTTTCACTCAACTCATAAATCAGTCTCCTCAGTAGAGGGTGAATGTGAAAGTGTATTTACAGGCTGGAAGGTAAGATTCTGATTTCAATCCCTTTTGATCTGTGTTTCATGAAAAAGCATAACTGAAACGTAGAGTTTTGTCTTTGTGGCTGTAAAACATTAAGTTTAATTTTGAATCTCCCTCAGGGCTTTAATGTTGTGTTCATCTTCTGATTTGTTTGGCATGGTTAGATAGGTGAGACAGTCTGTTTTTGTGTGATAGAAAACATGTTGTGGCATGAGGAAAAAGTCATCAGTAATTTTTCAAACATGACAGGGCCTTACATTTATAATTTCATATATTATGACACAAATTTTAACCCTTTTTATGTGAAATTTGACATTAGTGAAGAACAGAACTTATGGACATCAAAGTAAAACAGTGTAACTGGTAAACTGATGGATCTGACAAAGTGATAGGGTGATATGTAGATGAAAGATGATGGGGTAGGTGTGGGGGTGTGTATGGGTGAGTGGAGATGTGTTGATGGATTATGTGGAGACTATGAGGACAGAGGGGAGCGAATATAGATGAGGTAAGGAAAGTAAGGAAGAAAGAGTTTGGTTTATGGGGGGCTGAAAGGTCAGAGTGCGATGGTGTAGGGAGTGACTGCCGATTGCCAACGGGCTGCCAGTAGCAGGTAGAAGTTGGTACACTAAGGCTGCAGTGGGAAGAGCCACATTCTCAGTCCTTTACCGTATCAGCTGGGAGTACAGTAACTCTGGGACCTCAGAGGGAAAAGTGCAGTGGAGCGGCTGTGAGCTGCTCTGTAATAGAAATACCTGTTAAAAAAATACTTACAATAAACCCTAAATCTCTCCTTTGTGTGGCTTGTTTTCGAGAGCGGCGTCCTCTTTGCTTTGTTGCGGTGTGCAGAGCAGAGGTGGGCTCATTAGTCTCTCCTGATTGGTTTGGGCTTGCAAGAGAAAAGACAGAGTGGAAACCTCGTCTGGTACCTTGTTTTAACTGAACAGGGGGTGAAATGTGAGACGGTGATCTATCGTCATCTACTATTCTGTTGTAAGGTTGTGTAGGGAGATGCTCTTCAGAGGACATCCAATGGCTTTTGTCTTTGTGTTGTGTTATAATGTGTATAGTTTAGAGTGTAAGGAACTGAGAAGTTGGTTTATTTGTAGTGGATCATGAGTTGTTGTTCCAGCTGGGTGTTCAGTTTTAGCTCCTTATAGCATTAAGTTGACTGGTTAGCAGAGATCCTGTTCAAAACGTTGCTGTCTCAGATTGTTTGTCAAAGTTAATTGTGTTTTCTGGCTTAATAAACTGTTTGGTTTGAATCTGGTGCTGATTCATTTTTTATGGAATAATCCTGATGGATTCTGTAAGATGTAAAGATATAAAGTTTTGATTTCTTTCTTAATGTCTCTATCGCATCAATTTGTTTTTCTCTTTTTGCAGTCTGAGAAAGGAATTATTTTTTCCCTCATTACTGTTTTTGCTGTTTCCCCAAAGGTTGCATGCTGACATGTCTGGTGTGTCATTGTCTACTAGAAAGGATTTCCACACTCGTTCAAAGTAGTCGATAGTAGAAGTTCTTTATCTCTGAGTAGTGTGTTGTTCAAGTGCCTTTTATAAAAGAGATAGAGAGTGATAGTACATAGCGTTACCAGGTACTAGGTAGTGTTATGCTTACTCGTGCATGGTGAATAATAATTAGTATAGATCTCAAATAAACCGACAGGGTGGATTTGTCAGGTTGTGGATTAAGGGCTTGGTTAAAATCACCTGTTGTGAAACGTTTTAATTTTAATAAATTATTCCACATTAGTTTTGAGACATGGGAGGAATTGCTGTGAATAAGCGAATGAAATGAAAGAGTGGTTGCATCAGATCTCACTTTTCTACCGTTAAGTTGAGTAAATGTAGCATGTAGCAGTGTCCCGCATAACAAGAGGAGTATTTCATACCCACCAGTATGGAGGGTTGGCCTTTGATGTTAAGAAACAACAACATTAACATTCCACTGTTGAAAATAACCGTAAAGAAGTCAGCCAACATGAACACGTCTGGCTGAAGGAATGAAGTGATAAGAAAAGGCTGCTCAGTCTGATAATCAGGCTAACATGTGTTTTGTTCCACCTCCCTGATGTCCAGGGTGTGTGATGCTGTGTTTCAATCCAGCCTGGTCAGTCATGTATGCCAGCAGCATCAATCTAGCACGTGGATATCTTTCACTTTTCCATTTCCCTGTTGGTCAGTCACATAAAAACTGTTTCACAAGATAAATCTTTTCCATTCAGGCGTCCACCGAGGATGTTATGTGAAACAGTTGAAGTCCTCTAATAAGATTTTGTCATCTTGCAGAGCTGTCAGAGTCAGTAATGCCAGGTTTGTTTTCCACCGGCTGAGTTTGACTTGTATCAGTAAACTGACACTGAGGCAGATCATTTTACACATCTTTGTTCCTTCGGAGGTGACACAGAAAATGTTTCTCAAATATGTTGTTATGTAAAACAACATTTTTAAAATCAATTTTTAGCTGCCATTAAATTCCTACTTCCAGCTGGTGGTGATACTGGATAAGAAATCTCAACAACCCCAAAGTGATTTTAATCTTTTTTTAAATTTTTTTTTAAAAAAAGAAAGAAATTTAAAGTAATTTAGGAAACACTAGTGATGTGCTGTTTCCATGTCAGATCCTGGAGCTGATGCCTCTCTGTGTGGTATGGCTGCCACCAGTGCGTCTGGTACTAATGCAGTACGTTATGGAACTATGAGGGAGAATGTTATAAACCTGGAGGTGGTGCTGGCTGACGGGACCATCATACACACAGCTGGGAATGGCCGACGTCCCAGGTAACCTCACTACCTTTACTGTTTCAGGATTTCTCCAACTACACGTTAACAGACATTCACATTTTCATTCCCAAGCCAGAAATATTTAATATCACCTAATACATCTTTAAGCCTCTTATTTATGTTTTCCTTCCCTGCCTTCCTTGTTGTCAACCTTCAGGAAGACTTCAGCAGGTTACAACCTGACAAACCTGTTTGTGGGTTCAGAGGGCACCCTGGGGATCATCACCAAGACAACGCTGCGCCTGTACGGCATCCCAGAGGCCATGGTGTCAGCAGTCTGCTCTTTCCCCTCTATCCAGGATGCTGTAGACAGCACTGTGCAGGTCCTCCAGGCCGGAGTACCCATCGCTCGCATCGGTGAGGAGGTGATGCCTCACAGCCATACAACAGATAACTGCACCATTTCAACATGACAGTCAACGTATCTCAGTATATTTTATTGATCAAGGTGGGAGCTGTTGGCTGCTGACCTTGGTGACAAATAACACTGCACCACTTGTAGCTGCTTCACAGCAAAGCGCTGTGTTTAACTAGTAATGTGAACAAAGGAGGGAGGAGCAGATCTTTTCCAATTTCTACGCTTCACTGCACTGGATCACACTAAATAACGAGTCCATTGTGTATAGGGATGGGAATCAGTTGATCCATCGACATCATTTGCTTTTATGCTTAACGATTTCCTTATCGATGCCTTCCACTTAGTTCCACGTGCCTTGCAAAACAATGATGTCACGCTTTTGCGAGAGGCAGTCAGCGCGATGGGCAACGAAGGAGTTGAGGAAGTGTGGCTTAATTTCACACAAAATGACGCTAACAGCGCAACGTGCAATGTCTGTGGCACTAAGATTTCAAGCAAGGGCAGAAACACCAGCGACAAGCTGAAACATTTGTAGACACAGCATGGCATTAAATATCAGGAGTGCCATATGTTTGAGAGAAAAATCCACAGGAATCAATAAGGGAATCGATAAAGAATCGGATCGATAAGAAGAATCGATATTGGTATCAATAAAATCTTATCAATTCCCATCCCTAATTGTGGAAATACACAGCTCAGTGAAGATACTTTGTTGGTTACATTTTATTTTCTGCCACAAGGATGACTAGGTAGGATCAACCATTCAGTCTTACAGTAATAATCAGTTTATAATACGACATTCAGAGACTCGGGAGAACGAATGCTATTAATAGCAAGCATGTAGCATGTAGGCCTGCTGTACATAAAATAATAATGATATGATCTGCTTAATGGTTTCTGTCTGGAAAAAAAAATTCGAAGACATCAATGAAAGTATATGATATTTATGTTGATGATAAATGTGTTTACATCAACCTGTTTGATTCGCATTTTCAATTTTTGCATAAAAAAAAAAACAAAAAAAAACACCTGAAATAAAAAAAAAAAAAAGTCCAAATATCACAGAAATGCTTTTTCACTTGGCTGAAGTGTTTGAATAATGTATGAAACACTTCAGCCAAGTATGTTTGTCACCCAAGCTACCGCCGAAGAGACCCAACTTTGGCAGAAGAAAATATCAGACTCTGGTGGCTCACCTGGTAGAGAGCATGCATCATTAAGGCTTAGTCCTAACAGGACAGCAGTGGGCCCAGGTCCAAACCCAACCCACGGTCCTTTGCCGCATATCATCTCCTCTGTCTCTCTCCCTGACTTTTCTGTCTCTCTCTCACTGTGGCTATCTGAATGAAGGCAAAAAAAATACCCAGAAAACCTCAGATACATGTGCTGTATGTGTTGACCAGTGAGAGGAATGTTTCTCACAGTCTGCTTGGAGCGAAGCAGCAGCAGCTGCTGGCAGGAGGAAAGTGGTTATAGAGGAGATTCAGAGGCAGGAATATGCTGCTAGATGCACAAAGCAGGGGTTGTGCATGCGTTTAGAAAGTGTAGAACAGAAAGAAAGAAACTTAGCTGGAGGGGAGTGTGGGGCGTGGAAGCAGGTAGGAACTTGGGGAGGTGGAAGTATATCTTTACCTTTATATTCAGGTGTAGCTTCACCTCGGCACATTCTGTCAGGGTGTGAAACAAGCCCAGGGTGATACACCTGCAGACATAACCAAGGGCTGACATCTCTGTCAGGAGCCACTGAGGGTGAGCGCCTCGAGCTAAACTCACTGGATGCAAAAAAATGTTTGTTTAGGTATGGTGCAGGACAGCTGCAGACAGGGAGGGGCTGACAAGAAAGAGTATGTTTAGGAAAACATCTCATACAGTCCCTCAGGAGACAGCTACCACTAATCTAAGACCAAATCTTGTGTTGTGGTTAGACTCACAGTGTGTTGTGTATTTTGTGGAGATGGCAGGCTGTAGAAGTGGCCTATGAGAGGTAAAAGCTCAGAGCTACAGAGCTGGTAGTGGAGGCAGTGAGCAGCACTTCTACAGACAGAAACATCTTGTTGATGAGAGAGGTCAGAGGAGAACGACCTGACTGCTTCAAGCTGACAGAAAGGCTACAGTAACTCAGATAACCACTCATTGGTGTCACTGGACGCTCTTGACGGTCATTTGGCCCCCGGTGGCTCTTCAGGGGCCATCTGAATGCTGATGGTATGTCAAGTTTCTGCTCTGTTGATTATTGTTGCTGTGCAATAGCAACAATGAAAATGTGTCACATTTATTCAACTCAAACCACAAGAGAAATAATAGTAAATGTTTTTGTTATAAAATTGAATTAAATGCGTTGTTCTGGATGAACAAAATATTTAATAAACAAAGAAAGAAATCTTACCTATGTCCCTCACTGAAGAATGACCTTTAATGTGGTTGTTAATTAGGGCTGCACAATTAATCGAAATATGATCAAAATCGCAACATGACCAAATGCAATATCCAGATCACAGGAGCTGCAATCTTTTTGGTAAAGGTAAAATGTGTCACATCATACCATAAATAAGTGTTGTGGTGCTACAAACCGCCCAGCCACTGTTTTTCAGTGAAAATTAAAATGCAAAAATGATCATTTGCGATGTCTGCCAAGATAATCACAAGATGATTCTTATCCCTATTGTTGACCACAGATTTCAGGTAGAGATGATTTTTCTATTGTGGGACTCTCGCCCTCCAATAACACACTAACATGTCTCTATTCATCAAAGAAGATAAGTGCAGTTATAAAAGGCATGATAATCAGACAGGCATTAAAAAAAGCAGTAGGGATTTGATTTCATTATTATGTGTAGAGCCTGTGTAGATAACTTAGATAATGGCAGTCTACATCAAGGATAAGTGTTCAGAGCCAGTTAAACACAACAAGGCGTACACTGAGGAAACAAGAGAATCAATGATCTCATCGATCACATAACTGTTCATAAAGACCAAAGTTTGCTACTCAAATAACATGAAATGGGTGCTAATCAGTGTGATAATTGGTTATATAAAAATGCAGCACATCACTGGTCAAACATGATTATTACAAAGTACATGAACTATTTCCATGGTTTATGTTTTTAAACATGTAAGCCAAGTTTGAGTAAGATGCGCTTTTGTTGACATTTGAGCCACAGAGAGATAGAGGGAGGAAAGAGGAACAGAGTTTAGGACAATTGGGTCAAAGAAAGGCAGAGATGAACCTTTATTGATCCCTCAGAGAAAACACTTTCCTGCAGCAAGAGGATAATAATATCCAGCAGAGAGAAATGGATAATAAAATTAACAGTGAAAATAGATCAATGTTAGTTATTGGCAGTTGGAAAATATGTTTACAACCATTAAGCAAAAGTTGACAAAAGTCAGAAGAATGACCTATTTAGATGCATCACACTAAAAATTTGTCTTCCCTCACTGTGTGTGTGTGTGTGTGTGTGTGTGTGTGTGTGTGTGTGTGTGTGTGTGTGTGTGTGTGTGTGTGTGTGTAACCCAGAGTTTCTGGATGATGTGATGATTGATGCGTGCAACAGGTTCAGTGGTCTTTCCTATCCTGTGACCCCAACTCTGTTCCTGGAGTTCCACGGCTCTGAGCAAAGCCTCGAGGAACAAGTCAACACAACTGGTGTGTTAAAGTACAAACACAAATAATCACATCTCTAATAACTGACTAACTGTTGCTGTTAGATGAAAGCCTGATGTAGTGTGTGTAGTAGAAAGTTTTCAGACCTCATCATTTTTTCTAATTTTATTGTGTTGTAAGATTCATTTTAAATGGGTGAAATTGACATTTTTGAGCATAAGTTTACATCAATAACTCACAGTGACAAACATTTTTGACATTTTTGCTAAGAAATATAAAATTTAAAACTGTAAATCTCTCTACAGAGGACATCACCCACAGTAACAGAGGGTCAGATTTTCAGTGGGCTCGAGATGCAGAGACAAGGAACCAGCTGTGGAAAGCTCGTCATGATGCCTGGTACGCTGCTCTGGCTCTCAGACCTGGCTGCAAGGTAAGGAAAGACAACTGCCACTTTACCGGTACTCCTAATGTCTAAGGAGTCTTAATGCTTAACCCCCATCATAACTTTTCCTAAAGGATAAAACAGTGTTCAGCTGTAGTATCTTATTTTCATCGTTTACCACAATATCATTCTCCCCTGCGACTGCTGCTACTCGAGCTAAAAGTATGGGGTTGCTGGAGGTGTGATCAACAACAGGGCAGTTAATTACTCTTCTGGTTGAGAGGCTTTGTGTGAGAGCTCCATGCTATCACCATCGCCAGTGTGAGGCACTTTTACACCTCACTTTATTAACAGTTTAAATCCTAGTGGTTGCAGAAGACGACCACTTGATGCTGTTCCAATTCAGTGACCTTTTCAGTGTGTGTGTGTGTGTGCGTGCGTGTGTGTGCGTGCGTGTGTGTGTGTGTGTGTGTGTAGGCCTACGCTACAGATGTGTGTGTCCCTATGTCTCGACTGCCTCAAATCATTGTGGAGACAAAAGAGGACCTGATTGAAAACAGACTTACAGGTGAGCACCGTGCTGTTTACTAAATTAGACTCAGTGTTAATGATGTTAATAAGGCTTGATGTGATTCATTGTGAGTATAATGTCTCTACCTGCGTCATTGTTAACCCACGAATGTGTCATAATTATTACAATCAGAGCATTTAGCGTAGAAAAAGAAAAGGACGCCTTGCAAGGCTGCATTAAAAAACACTGCTTCTAATGATTACACATTGATCTGATCAAATGCTCTGATTGCAGACTGATCGCACTAATTCAAAATGACCTTTAGATCAAGTTTTAATCAACCTTTTTGGACCTTGTCTGTCTTGTGTGTTTGTGCCTCTCTCCTATTACTGGGTCATTTCTTTGAGTCTATTGCTTAATGTGGGTCTGACATGAGTGTCGCCAGCAGCCATCAGTTCTCACCACCAAGGTGAGGGAAGTGGGCTCAGAGCAGGAAATCACAGCAACAGCAAAAGTGCAGGCAATTAGGGTGAAAAAAGGAACACAGGTTTAAAAAAAAAAAAAAAAAAAACTAAACTAGATGCTGCTCAAAAACGTGATGCGAATTGGTGATTTTCAGCTTTTTCACAGATTTAGTAATCATATAAAACACAGTCGTAGCTATGTGGAGAACTGGTTGTAAAGAACATGCCTGCATGTATAACAGCACATCTGGAGTACTTCTTTCCTTCAACGTGATTAAAAAGCAACTTCAATGCAGCTGAAAATCTGAAACTCTAGCTTTATTTGCCCCAGTATTTTCCCCTTTTTTTTTATGTGGGACTCAAGTTGTTTCACCTCTTAAGCCAGTGCAGCTTATAGTGTGTGATGCATTTCAAAACACCCACACCTGTTGTTTTCTGTGTAAAGTCCTACACACTGGTGGTGTCTGGAAGCACACTAATTCTCCAGAAAAGCAGCAGTTTTATGACATTGACTCCCCGAGCACATCCGGCCACTGTATCGTGACTGCTTCCTCTGTCAGTATGGTTCGTTGGATGTGTGCTGCCTGAAATCATCAAGTGTAACAGAGAGGGGGAGAGAAGCGGCTGAGGGAGAAAGAGTGTCAAGAAAGAAGATGAGAGCTAGGCAGAGACACCATCGCTTCAAATATTTATTCATGACAAAAGACAAAAAATTCCCAGGGCTGCAACTTTCCTATGTCGATTATTATTTAGTCTGTAAAATTTCAGACAACAGTGAAAAATACTCTATACATAATTTCTCAGAGCCTGAGGTGATGTCTTCATATCGCTGAACAATAATATCGCATTTCATCACCATAGAATAAACAGAGTTTGGAGCTGTGACTATGTCTCTAGATTAATACTGGATTGATGTATGACTCATAGCCATAGTTAGTGGATGTCTGATCAAGATGAGAGATGAGTGTTTAGCTAGGAATCATATAATAAAGGGATTAAGACAGAAATACTGGACTTGTCAGGTAGAAATATATAGATATCTGCTTTTTAATAAAAATTCAATAAATAAGTATATAAAAGAGCAAAAAGCTAAAGCTAATAAATACAGCATTTTAATTAATTAAAAGTCACAAAACAAGATTTACTTAAACTTTTTTCAGTATGTCAGTTAGACAGTGATGTTCACCAGAACCCTGCACTAGTCATGCCGGTAAAAGTAAAGCTATAGCTTTAATTAGATTTACAGCAAAACCCAAGAGTGAACTGAACTGACAAAGAGTGTTTTGTTGCGTTTCTTTTTTTTTCTTTTTTTTAAGAGGAAGAATTTATTAATTATTATTTGATAAGTTACATAGTTTTACTTTAAAGTGCATTGTCTCAACAAAAAGAAGGAAACAGCAGCGCTGACAGATCACTAAGGAAGATAAAAACATAGAAGAAGAAAATAAAATAAAAATCATCCTGTATGTTTTCCCAGTAAAACGAATGAGAACGTTATCTACCCTCAGGTCCCATAGCGGGTCATGTAGGAGACGGTAACTTCCATTGTCTGATGGTGGTGGATCCCAACAACGCAGAGGAGATGCACAGGGTCCACCTGTTCACTGAGAGACTGGCCAGGTAAACCCTCCTCCCCTCTTCTCCTCTGACACCTATCAGTTACCCACAATCCTCCACCACACAGGACCTTTGTGAACTACTTCAGGAATGATGAATGTTGTCGTACGAATTTTACCCATTTACTGTACAGTCTTTGTTGCTGACATTAACATGGATTCGACTTTAAAAGACTTATTTGGTGGAAGTCAGATATTTACAGGAGCATCGGTGTTGACCTGAATTTCTTGATCATCGCAAAAACTCTAATTGCAGTTTTTTTCAGGTTGTTCAAGTACATTTTTTAAGCTGCAGTAAATGTTCAGCCCTGAGGCCGGTCAGGTAGACAGGCCTCACTGCTCTTGCAACTTCTCCTTCTTCTTCTCTTCTGTCAGTCCCTCCTCACTCACTCTTTGCCAAATCCTTTTCACTCCGCTCGGCTACCTTCAGAGAAATTCACCTGCCCTTTGACATCCCGCTCTCACCCATCCCTTTTAGTTGATATTGATTTCTCGGAGGACTAAACTGTAAGTGCTGGGTTTTGAAAATGTTCTTGGAAGCTGTGATAGCGTCCAAAATCTATTTTGTAAAGCTGTAAAAAACCACTGGCTGTACTGGGGTCAGTCATAGATCCCAAAGGGTAATGGCACAGAGGAAAATAGATTTGAATCCTCAGGAAGATAAAGAGAGTAAGATTTGTACAGTACTGGAAAAGATGCAGGTATAAAGTATGAAATGGTTGTGGTTACAGGGTTATCAATATTTTATGTACATGGTTAGAAATAGTTATTTTTAGGATTTAAGTTAGAGATGGAAACAGCTGTATGCAAACATTTGTGCACCTCTGGGCAGATTACATATATTACATTGTCTTACATAGTAAATAAAACCCCTGCAGCAAAGAGACATTAAAATGAGCCTTTAAGCAGCTTTTGAAGCTCCCCTCCAGACATGTTGTAAACTGTGTAAAAATCCTCTTCTCTGACTAATATTTTGTTTAACATGTTTCTTACACATACAAAAGAAAAAAATTGTAAGTCTGAAGCTTCTCTACTTTTACTACCTCATTGAGAAATCTGGATCAGACCTTATGCCCCGCCCACCACCTGCTTGCTCCAGGTGGACAGGTGAAAGAGCAGAGAGTATCAAGATGGTCAGAGGAGGAAACATCAGAGAGACTCAGCCACATGTCTGTGTGAGACATGTCATGACTCAGATGAGGAGTCTGTTGAGTCCAGAACTAGAGACTAGCAGACGGATCAGAACGGTTAGCGCAGTTAGCATCTTTTATTTGTTTATGTTGTAACTGGCAGTACTGTACTGACAGGTTTATTTAGCCCCACCCCCTCATCCCCACAAGTTGACAGGATTGGTTCCTTAGGTTTGTGACATATGAAACCCTGGCTGTCTGAATCTGTTTTTATGAGGCTGTCATTGGTTCACTGCAGTTCAAGGTGGAAACACTCAGTCATGGTGCTGACTGATTATTTACTCATGATATGTCTTGTATGATATAAAAACACCATACGGACATATTAACTTTATTTTCATTGAAGAAGGTCTTTACAAATTGAACTATAGTGGTGCTACGTGCAAAAGAATGGGCAGCGTACTAAGTCAGTACCTGGTGTGCCCTTCAACATTTTGGAAACACAGTAGCAGATTTTGTACAGTCTCTTCTTGATTTAGGAATTTTCACCCTCTCTTCCTGCAGATCACTTCAAGTTCTGAGATATTTTGGGCTGTCCTGCTCACACAGCATGTTTAAGAGAGAAAGTCACACAACTGATTGACTGCGCTCTCGAGGATCTTAGACAGGAAGGAGAGGTTAGATATATTTGGCTAACACACCTGGATCAAGAGTAGACTGTTTGAGAAGAGGTTTAGTTACAGCTGCTTTAAAGGCCTGTGGCACAATAGTCTGTTTATATATCTAGTAAGGAAGTGGTAACTAGGGGTGAAACTTCCTTGAGCATTCTAGTTGGGATCGGGTCTGAGAGAGGTTGATGATTTATTAAGGAATCACTGAAGTTGTTGGAGGTTGACTGTCTAAACATATATCAGGTTTCACAGTATGAGGATAAATCTGTGCCGTTGAGGGCAGGAGATGGTGAATTTAGTCTGTAATAGTTTGAATTGCATCATGAAATAATCTCATGAAGTTGCTATTACTAGCTATAGCTATAGGAATTCATGGGTCAATAGATCTATGACTGTCAATGGCCACAGTGCTGAAAAGAAACGTGGCGTTGTTTTTATTTTTCTCTATTAATGAAGAGTAATAGGCGCCTTTGGGATTACAGAGGGCCTTCCTATACGTTTTCATCATGCCAGACTAAGCAGGATTCTTCCACTTTGGTGGAAGGCCTGTCCTTTGTTTGCTTTAATTTTCAGGTTGGAGAATGAAATCATTGAACTAACCTCCTTTTTTTTTTTTATTATCACCTTTTTTAGAGGAGCAATAGAGTCAAGAGTCAGGTGGAATGCTGCACCTGCTTGCTCCTGCAGGTCCTTTGCAGTCATGTGGAGGTTTTGCTTTGCCTTTTTGTCCAGCAGATGTGCAGAGGTTCACACAGATGTGTTGCACTTGCAGGTTGATTTCTTTTCACCTCTTCACTCCATGGGGTTTAAATCTGTGCTGGTCTTCATCATGTGAAGTCTCCATCTGGTTCTATTCTTCTAATTATCTTACTGTAGGATGAACCCCTGACCAACCAGTCTGTCCTACTCTGTTAATGGTGTTCTTCACACCATTCTGATACAGAAATGCTCCCTGCAGTAATGGTCCTACTAATATATCAGAGGGTGTAGTAACACGTTTGATCCTTTGTACATGCAGAGGGTTTGTCAGTCATCAACCTGTAGGAATTGTTTGCATTAACTGGCTTCATTTACTTCCACTGCTGCAGGAGATCTGGAAGTTAACCATTTTCTTCATCCCTGAAAAAGTTCCCTGTTCTCTGCAAGATTTTTCAGTTTTTAAGAAAGGTCAATTTATAATTATGTGGCACTGAATTACAACAGAAGTTATCTCAAGGCACTTTTCAAATAGAGCAAGTCTGGACCTTCCCTTTATAATATTGATTACAGAGATCCACTAATTCCCAACAAGAGCAAACACTTGGCGACAGTGGCAAAGAGAAACGCCCTTTTAAGAGGCAGAAACCTCGAGCAGAACTGGACTCAGGGTGCGCGGCCACCTGCCTTTTGTGACCTAAACTACTTTTTTTATACCTTGGGCAGTTTACTGCTGACTTTTGTATCATTTATGGTTTTTCACTGAACTTAAGCTGCTGACATCTCAATAAAAAATTGGAGAAACATTTAAGTGGTAGTGTACTGTACTGTCATGGTGGATAAAAAGATCCTCAAGAGGCCTTTTAGTACAAAGTATACTCCTCTTTTACATCTATTGTTTGGTGTGGTGTGTCAGACTAAAAAGGCTTCACTTCGTGTGAATCTGAAAGTTCCATTGAGACATTAAAATGGAGATGGTACAATATTCACCTTATTCACCAGATATTAGTTTAAAAATGGTTAAATTAAATTATAAGACCAAATTACAAATTGTTCTAGTTGATAGTAGCAGCTTCAGTTTTAGTTATTTTGTTTAGTTTTATGAAAAGTCTTTAAAATCTTAATGTCAGGGGCTGCTACAGAACTGAATAGACAACTTTGTGCAGTGAATCAATGTGGTTTGTTCTCCCTGTAGGCGAGCTCTGGCCATGGACGGCACATGTACGGGGGAGCACGGAGTGGGTTTAGGGAAGAGAGCGCTGCTGTGTGAGGAGATGGGACCCATGGCAATCCAGGTCATGCAGGGTCTGAAGGACGCCCTTGACCCATATAACGTGATGAATCCTGGGAAAATCCTGCAGCCAAGAGAACTATAAACAGTATTTTAGTCACTAACCATGGGAAATCTGCTCACTGTTGATGGCTTGATCAGAGACTTTCACAATGAGCTTGTTTTTTTTAGAGCGTGTAGAAATGCCTCTGTTAAAACAGGACATTTGGATAACACTGAACAGAGATGGATCAGTCAAAAGTGAAAAGCAATAGGATGTCACTGGGAAGACGCTGTTATTCTAATTTGGGGGGTGTTAGATTCTACATAAATCTGTGATGATTTCACTGGTGTTGCTGTTTCTGCCGTCAGGTGCACTGTGTGCTTCTGCATTGTTTTACAGAGGGATCTAAAAATGTATGAATGGAATCAAGAAAGTCAAGAATGGTTTATTTTGAGTAGATTGTGACAGGTACATGGAATAATCAAGAATAATCAAGCAGTACAAAGACTAAATGATCTTTGGCTTTTCAACACTAAAAATAATCATTAGTTTGTGCACTGCATACTGTGTTACACTGTGACACATGTAGCAGTCAGAGATGTGTAAGGCTTCCTTATTTCCCATAGAAAATGGACAGAGCAACAGCAGGTATCATACACTGTCATAAAACCACAACATACTGTATGTCTGGAAAATATCAGCATTGAAGTTGGTACATGGTGTCAAACAGTTTGAAGGAACAAATTTGTTGAGACAGCAGTTGTTCCCAACCTGTGGGCTGTGAGCCACTAAAAGAAAATGTAATAAAAATGTTAAAAAACAAATTGTTGTTTTCTTCTTCTCATATCACTGTGATAAGCCAATGATAGGAACTGTCATGTTGTTGCCACCGGACCACATCTTATACTTATTTGCTATTTCAGAACGATTGCACGCTGAAAGATCACATCCATGGCAAAAACAGGATAGGTGGTTAGCAACAGGTAGAAATCTTCCTACACGTTTCCCCTGTTTTCAGTTCAGTCCTCAATGTTCGATCATTATCATCAAAATAAAAAGTGCTCTGAGAGCGTCATTTGGCCTCTGTATAGTTATAGAGTCAGATGTGGGCCTCCAATATTATTGAAATTTTTTTAAGTGGGCCATGAGTTGGAAACCATTGCTCTAAGGGAATAGTTCAACATTTTGGGGAATTTGCTTATTTGCTTCATGCTGAGGGTTACAAGAGAACTGATACCAATATGTAGTTGGATCCAGCAGCCAGTTAGCTTAGCTTAGCTCAGCGTAAAGACCTGAAACGGGGAAACAATGTTTTCCAGGCTAGCATTTTCCCCTCTTGACAACAAAGCAAATAAGTCTATTTTCCAGAATAATAAACTTTTTCTTTGCGCAGTTTGGTTAAATATTCACGTTTAAACAATTTAATGTCAGTTAAAAAAGTATGAGTGAATTGAATTGAAGTCTGTAAAGCAAGCAGTCATTACACTGGCAGTGATCCTGTTTAAAACACAATGCCAATAATATATTCTGACTTCTGACCCAGAGAAGAAGCAATCTTTTTATTTTTTCACAGTTCATATTCTCAGCGAACTCCCAGCATCCTCAACAACTCTAAGAGTGTTTGTTCTTGGCATCGGCTGCACCAGCGCTCAGGCAGCTGAAGGTGACACAGCAGTGTATTGTGACACTTGATTAATATGAAGAAGTGTATGTTGGCATCAGAGGGCAGCAGCACTACAGGATGAGGATTTTTTTACTGCTCTTTAGCAGTGAATGCTGCTGGATGGTTGTGAGGCTTTTTTTGTGAATCACATTAGAAGACAAAATAAAATGCTATTCATTTGTTCCTGCCTCACTAGGCCCATAAATATTATTGTCACAGCTCACAGCCTTTAACTGAACATTAAGAATGAATAAACAATCTATGCACGGCCACTGAGGTACAATAAAGTGTCTATTTAATTCTCAGTCACAGTTCGATCTTCCTGCTCCTTTATTCATCAGTTTAAAGAGGTTTTGTTGATTGTACGTTAAGTAATTAAAGGATTTAAAATAATTTCCATGTATTGGTTTCAGTCATTAACAAGTGTGCTTTCATTGACCCACTTATCAGAACTGTAGCTGCCACTGAGGACACCAAGGTCATGTCCTCAATCTGCACTGTTTCAATGAATTTAAGAGGATTAAAGACTTGATTATATACACAAAAGAAAAATTCAAATTGAGCAGTGTCTACCTTTATTACATACTTGTCAATCCAGAGACGGCTTTGGGGTCAAATTCAGACCATAGAAAATATAACTGAACAAAACCTTACTCTTTAAAGATGAATTACCTAAAGTCTTTATTAAAGGTAATGAATCATATGCAAACAAGTCATGCATTATATATCACTTATAGATCATTGCACATATATGCTACATTATACGTTATAGATCACATTGTAGATCACTTAACACTTATCAGCCATAATTACAACTGTTTAATAGTTTCCAGGGTGAGAAATCCTTCTGCCTCCTGTTTGTTTTTTTCTTTTTTGTAATAATCCAGTTAGAAATGTTGCCGATCCATCAATAAATATTCATCAAGTTTGCATTTACACGTGTTAAGAAGATATTAATAAATAAATATCCACTTTTTTGTTTCATAAATGCTCCATAAGATGAACTGAGCAGCTAGAGAGACGTCTGAAAGGTGTTCTGGTGGAGGATGAACTGCCAGTGGAATTTTTCTCAACCTAAAAGTTATTAATGATTTATTTACACATTAATAAATCCATTACACATCTTACAAACCCTGAATAAAGTCTGCCTTATCAGACTTACTAGTTGGGTTCTTCAGGCTGAATTTGGAGCCTGATTGTTACTATAACACTGTGTGGCCCTGTCTGCTGCTCTAGTTTTGTTGTGAGCTGTTCTGTGCATGAACTAACATTGAAATGACACAACCAAAGTGACCAATTACTTTTGAACCCCAAACCTTCAGGCCCTGTATGTTAAAATGGCTTCATCTCCCACCCTGTTCTTTCTATATGGATGTGAACCTGCTCAAACCAAAGCTGAAGTTTGGCATTTTAAATGCAGTGTCCATTCTTTTATTTTAGATTGAATGTGCTGAAGCTCAGAGCCTGAAGAAAAAAAAAATCTATAACTGTCCAAATGCCTATAGTCTGGACTGGTATATAGTAATATTCCCCCTAAATTCAATGTGTGGTAAACCATGAGAGTCACTGTACATTTTCAGATCATAACAGAAGGCACACAGATTAAACAACCAGACAACAAAGTTTCCCCAAAGCCCTGCAGGCTTATGTGTTTCCCCCCTGTGGTCTTATATTTATACACTGACTGTATTAGAACCATTTACCATTGTATTTTAGAACCAGTTTATTTGTGTGTGCGAGCCCGAGGAGCAGAGAGGGGACCATTTATAGACCTGCTGTCATTAAAGCAGGAGAGATGAATACATATTGAAGAGAGAGTTTACCTTATTGGGCAGTGAGGCCAAGGAGACGGATACGAGACTGACTGTGTGTTATTGCGAAGAAACAAAGAGCCAAAGAGAATAAAACCAGCCTGATTACACACACATGCACTCACAGGATTAGACCGAGTAATCCTAAAGAAAATATGTGACAGCCAGTAATCCCAATAATTTAGCATATGGCAGAAAAATCTGTGCATAACTTGGGAATGGCAACAACATGGCGTCGCGGTTGAAGGCCTGAAACCCAAATCAAAATCCTCTGAGAGGTAACTTTAAATTTTATAGTGGAAAAGTCAGAACAAAGTATAAAAGATACTGTACCAACGTTACAGAGTAACAAACATGGTAGAAATGTATGTTTTCGTTGCCTCACTCTTATTTATTTATTTATTCATTTTTGAATAAAAAGGGGAATGTAAGGATCTTTTGTGTGGGAAAACACTTTGAAGCCGTGACCACAAGTCTGAACCAATCCTGTGTCAACAGCTGTTGCAGTGATATGTGCATCCGAAAATACTTTTCAGGAGACTCGGAGCTTTCAAACAATGAATAATTTGCCAAGGTTGTGTGAACATAGAGTCCAGTACAGACTAAAACACACTAAAAGTAGAGCTACAGAGGACAAAGCCTGCGCTGTGTGTTTTAAAAGATTAGTTAAGGAATGACCTTGAGTTGGGATCCCCTGTACATTCACATATGTCAATTTCCCACATTTTCTTATGCGAATAAACTGAATTTCTGTGTAAGATATGCTGCTCATTTATTTAGTCTTCTGAATGAATTCCTGAGGTTTTTGCTTTGTAGTCTTTGCTCTTAATCACAAATTAAAGTCAGTTTGGGCTCCGAACACAGGCTGCACCTCCTCATGTCCTCAAATGCATTTTGAGACATTGCTGTGGAGTTAAGTTTGTCAGCCTTTGGGGCCCCCCCAACAGGATGGGACCCCCAAGCAGGGGCCTGACTTGCCTGTTCACAAGCTGCACCTCTGACTACAGACATTACTTGTGCACTGTTACTAATCTGAGCACACCCCTGGTCAATATCACTGACATGTTCAGTAATTGCAAATCCTGTCTATTTAATATAATAGTGAAGAATGTGCTGCCAGTATTCACCCGGCTACTGTTCATGTTCTGTGGCAAAGTTTTGTGCAGCTTTGTGAGCAATGGTTTTCCTCTTGGGGCCCATCTGTTGAGATTGATTGATTGGGTGGTTGATTGATTGATTGATTGACTTCATGTGATAGCCTTCTCACTGTCTGATCAGTCACTGAAACACCCGTTTCCACAGATAATCCTTGTGCCAAGTCAGAAGAACTTACCCATGTTTTTCAATGAAATGTTGTGTAACTAGTGAACTGTGTTGAGGACAACCACTGCACCTGTTATTGGTAGTATGGATCTTCCTGTACCACCTGACCACTGTTAGGTTCAGCCCACTGAAACTATCCTCTCCATCTTTATAAAGTTTCTCACCCTGGTTTTCTAACTTGTTCAGGTCAGTTTACCATGTGGAGCCACGTTGCATTAGACACTACCCGGGCCAAGAAGCTGTGGTGTTCACGGGTTCTTTTATCACCTTGTTCATGTAATCACCCTTAATTGGAAATCACAGGTGTGCTCATTTCTGTTGCACCGAGGTCTCAGCTTATTTTCAATGCAGTCTATCTGACCTGTTGTAATTAAAGGCTACATAAGATCAAACACTCCACAACACTTTATTATTGTAAGGGAGATAACGTTTCAGTGATGTTGCTCAGGGGTTCACTCAGTGTTGTTGTGTACTGTAGGTGTCTCCTCCCAGCACTGTTCCCCGTCCTGTCTGTGTTTATGATCCGAGCTTGCGCACTGAGCGTCTCCATTGTCTGGGCCGTAGCAGCAGCAGCAGCAGCACCAGCGGCGGCGGCGGCGGCGAAGCGGAGAGGATTGGAGCGCCGATGTGAGCGCAGGCGAGCGGCATCACTGTGACCCCAATCTCCGGGGAGAACCGCTGGTTGGACACCGTCGGAGCAGACATACAGTGCGGAGGGCGACGTCATTTTTATTTTGTGTGTGTGTGTGTCAAAGACAGACCGTCGTTTTTGGCGGTCAGACAGACAGCAACAGTTGTCACGATGTCTGAGATCAGATGAGGCCAGAGCAGCGGAGTGAACATTGCGGCGCTGTTGTGAACCGGTCCGGGTGGGTTAAACGTGTTGCTGCCGCGTCCCGCCTGCAATGATCCAACCGTCTTAATCACCTGGGACGGCGAAGGGAGTGTGGCGTACATCTGTTTGTCAGTCTGGGCTTTCGCCGTCGTCCTGCTCGTCAACCATCCCCCGGTTGTTTCGAGGTTTTGTCTGCGGGTGAGGTGAATCCAGACGTCAGGGGTGGCTCATGTTCCGCTCAGCAGGGAAACGGGCTGTTGCGTCTGCAGAGAGTCAGAGCTGACGAGCCAGCTGAGACACACGGACTGACAGGCAGGCAGGAAGGCCGAGAGACAGACAGGAGCGAGGGGAGGGGGCGACAGCCTGTTTCGGCTCTCTCGACCCTTTGCGGATCGAGCCGAGCCCCCTCCTGATTCCACCCAGAACCCCCACCCATTTGTCTCCCGCTTTGGATGGGGGGAAAGCAGAGCACGGCGGGGCGGCCCCGGGGTGCTTTTCCCGGTGTCTCTACGGATGACAGCGCGGTGCCACCCTCGGCCCACTTCGGCCACTACCGGCCGAGCGGCACCATGGGCCTGCGGAGCCGCTCAGTGAGCTCCGTAGCCGGGATGGGCATCGATCACAGTCCCGCCGTGCCCTTCGGCTTCTACACCCCCAGAGGGACGGACCCGGATCGAGCTGGAGGGGGGTCAGGGGGCACTACAGCCGCCCCCCACGGTACCGGTTACCAGGACACTGGGGGCGGAGGGCACCACACGGACGGGGTGCTGTATCTGGGGTCCCGGGGGTCGCTGGCTGACACCTTACCCCTGCACATCGCACCCCGCTGGTTCAGCGCGCACAGCGGTAAGGGCGGTCTACTCTATACACACACACACACACACACACACACACACACACACACACACACACACACACACACACACACACACACACACACACTCTCTTCAGGCAGAAATTTGGGTGACGCTGAAGGATTAATCATCAGAGAAAACCACATATAAACTCATTCCCACGGACATCAGCTCCCACCTAGACACCTCCAATCACGCTCACCTTGTTTACCTGCAGGTAGGAATGACACCAATGCGGTGCCATTAAATTTCACTGCTGAGAAGGGACGTTGAGCTTAGCCTGAGGATGCACTAAGAAAGAAAGACAGGAAACAGAAGAAGGCAGCTTTGGGCTTCAAAAAAATAAGCAGACCTGTGCGTAAAACAATATGTTTCCCTCAGGTTCTGACCCTGTGTTGGCTGAGGTGGGTAAAATGCACAGTAACAGCAGAAAACAGTGGGGCCTTGGGCAGATGTCAGCTTCTCCACACTTAATACTACATTTTTCTGCAGGAAAATGTCTGGAATTGAAAATATTGATTTCTGCAGCTTCAGTTAAATAAAATCTAAGTACTTTCAAACATCCATTTCATCAAACACTCACATGAAATTGCTGTTAATAGCTCATTTTATGAATTGAGAGAAGTATTTTTGCTCCATGAGAGTGTGTGTGTGTGTGTGTGTGTGTGTGTGTGTGGGAAATTGCATTTGGTGAACACAACGTTGCAGGGTGTGCTTCGTCTCGACTGTCACCGCTGCACCCGTCTGCATAGGTCATTCCTTGTGTGACATGACAGTAATAAGCCTGTTGCCAAATCTGGCTGAGTCAATTAGCCCTGCGATTAGAGAGGAGAGGAGAGGAGGGGGAGGGAGAAGAAGGTGAGGGAGAGAACATGAGAGGAAGGCATGGACTGGATGGAAAGAAGGGTTAAGCGGGTTGTCTGTGGGGCGATGATGATGATTATGTGGGTGACCGATAAGATAAGATATACTTTATAGTCCCCAGAGGGAAATTGTGGACCTGTCACACCACCATGTACGTGCATACACCTACATCTGCACACACACATATGTAGACAAACACATAAACAAATCTGTAACCACATGGCAACAGCTGATTCCCTTCCAACTGCACATACACAAAGACACAAACACTCAGCAACAAAGTCCTAGAGGAAGATTAGACACACTCCTCACACACACACACACACACACACACAACACTCAGCACATGCACACGCACAGCAGGCTCAGCCAGGTCCCAGGCTCTCCATTACCAAAGCCCTGACCGGCTCACAGCAGGAGAATAGCAGGATGGACATCAGCATCTCAGCTGTTCTTCCTTGCCTACATTGCCATGACTCCGATGTGTTTTATATCAGTGGGAGGAGATAACAGGGTTGGAGGGGGAGGGGGAGGGGGGAAGGTGCACATGTCAGGAATAGAAGGCTGAAGATCTTTTAATCAAATCACAGGAAACACCAGTAATGTTCACGTCTAGAAACACCCTTGTTTGGCTCAAAGCACCATCGTGGTGTAGTTCAGGACATTTTTCAGATGCTCCACCACTGTGTGATTATCATATGGGCGTGGTCAGCAGCTAGCTTGTTTTTTGTGGTTAAATAGGTGAGGCTATAGTAGCGGCTACTTGCAGAAGCGATTCAGAAGAAAGAAAAAAAAAAACCCCAAACAAAATCACTTGAATGTTGAGAAACACGGGGAATACAATGCTTTAGGGGTGCCGGTGATTGATGCTGCACACCTCAGCCTCAGGCAGGATCACATTAAAGAGACTGACAGCCCATCAAGATGACTGGCAAGAGCTGGGGTGAGATCTGGACCGTCTGAGGAGGGGTGGGGGGGGTCAGGACTGACAATACTCCTGCCTGTGTGAGAGGAGCTACAGCTTCAAACTGCTCTTCCTTTTCTCCCTGTGCAGACAAGGGTGGAGGCAGATAACCTTACGAGATACGGCCTCAAGTGTCCGGTGAAGGTCGCTCTCACCAACATGTCTGCTCTTTGATGCTGTAATAAAAGATTGGTGGTAATGGTGAGGAGTTTTTCCCCCTTTCCATCCACCTAGACCTCTGCTCCGGCTGCTTAGCAGGACCTTTCATTTAACTTGTACCTGCAGCAGAAATGCTCCTCATGGCTTTTCTGCTGCTGAATGAGATTTTTCCGGAGACTTTGCTGCCTCAGGCTGTGTTCACAGCGACAATAGCGCCGTGTCAAAAAATCCAGGATCCTCGTTTATTTCTGGGAGAGCGCTGCTTTAGCTCAGTGGGATGCTGCTGCTGCTGCTGCTGCCGCCACGAGGGGCTACGGCAAGAAAACGCATAGTAGTCTGTCAAAAAAAAGTTCACCCTGCTTTAACTTTAGCTGCAGCACAGAGCAGTGTCATCTGGGAATGCAGTGTGTTTGCCAGTCCAGTGAGAAATACAATACAGTGTATGTTGTAATGTTTTACCTGTACCTCTTCCAAGGTGTTTTCGTGATTGCACAGATGTTAGCTGTGTGCCCAGGATGACAGCGCAGTATTTTCTGTTCAGAAACAGCAGCGCCATCTTTGGTTGGAGGATACATTACGCTCTCCTTCACTGATATCTAAATGCTTATACAAATAAATAATAATAAATAAAAAAAACTTTTTTTTACGTTTGTTAGAAGTTGTTCCTTTTAACGGTGTATTGACGAGATCCTCGATACATCTTGTGAACTAGCGTACAGCCTGTGCAGCAAAGAAGATAACAGTGGAGCCATGTTTGTAGTTCTGCTTCCGAAAATCTGGGTTCAGTTTGTGTAAACACTGGATTTAAACATTGGTTATGTTCTGGGCGCAGATGTTCTGATGACAATAAACATCCATGCATCATTAAAATACCTGCTGCCAGTTAACAGATAAAAAATATTATTTGGATTTCCCCCATGAGGTTAGCGTTGTGAAACCCGTGTGACTGAGTCATTGAGTGTACAGTGTTAAGATCACATGTGGGGCTAGGGGCTCGTTCTCCCTAGGAACGAAGTTGCTGTTGAATTAGCTGAAAACACTCAAATTATGGTTTATGTCTCAGCATGTGTTTCCATCCACAAAGCTTTGGTACTGGGACAGTGGTTGTCTGTTAGCTGAACAATGCTAGTCACGTTAGCCCCCGCACATATAGCTTATGTAGCCGCTGTTGCTACGGCTAACGGAAATGAGTAACTGCAGCTGTTATTTAGATATACTGTATCCTTCTGGAGCTTTCGCTTTACCGATGAGTTGCAGCAGCACTAGACAAACTGTTTCAACTGCAACAATCTGTGTGAGCTGTGATTCAGATACAATAGAGAGCAGAGGAAATGTGGTGTATTGAGGGGGGTTAGTGTTATAGGGTTAAAGTAGAAGACCCACATCCAAGGTGGTTCCTGTAGGTCATGGGCTGCTCTCTCCAGCCTGGTTTGATCTATTCCTCGGGCGTGATCACACCTAGTTAGAGCGGTTCTGTCAAACCCTGGAGCATTTCAGTTTGTGTCCAGTCAGAGCCAGACCTGAGCTCCCCCAGAAGCAGGTCCAATAGCATTTCAAATTTGGGAGGGGGTCTCGAAAAATTGATAAATAACCATAAGCATTTCTAATGCTACAATGAATGACAAAATAGATAAAGTCTAATTAAAATCTAATGTCTTGTTATGTCTAATGTCATTGGTAATTTGAAATGTATGTGTGCAGCTGTGCCCGAGTCAGTGCGCCTGACTTTATCAGCTGCAACACGATCAATCGGGACATGTGCAGGTGTTTTTTTGTTTTTTTTTTTATCACAGCTCATGGGCTGCGCCCATGTATTGTTTTGTTCACCTGTGCATAATTACTGTGCGTGGATTTGGTGTCAGATAGCAAACTCTCAATGACTGGCTACTGGAGCGCTTCTCCTGCCAACACAGTTCAGTTCAGCCTCTCTCATCTCATCAACACCCTCCTTTATATTATCCCATGAAATGACAAATGATCAACAGATTAGTTATGAAACTAGAAACAGGCCTAAATTTGTTACGAAGTGTAGTGAGATGTTTTTTTTTTCCTTGTCATATTTGGTATTAAGCAATAGATTCATGAAGTGTCTCCACCTCCTGAAGCTGTCTGTGGCTCTGTCAGGTTTATAATGTCAGATGTATTGTCTCCACAGCTGAGGTCTTATCTGATACTGGAAGAAATATACCAGCTATCTGTATGGTCTTGTTTTGTCATGATAAATAGAAATAACATTAGTGAGAACCTGTGTGTGAATGCCATGTAGGCTATATGCGCAGATTTGAAAGTTCCTTGATTTACTTAAATTACTCTACGAATCATACTAGGGCTGAGCAATGAATCAAAATATCAAAATCACAATTATGGCCAAGTGCAATATCCAAATCACTGCAATTCTGTGGTGCTACAGAGACGCCCTGGCCTACCAATCATATTCTCCAGATGTAAAGGAACATGCTTATTTGATCCAGACCCCATCAAAAACCACATCATCATCACTTTTATATTTCTGTGAAAATCAAGAAATTATAAATGAAATAAAATCAAATTAATTGCAATATGATTTTTTTTTTTTGCATATTGCTCAGCCCATCATACCATACATCATATGTATTATATTGCTGTCATTCTTTGGACGATTGATAAGCAGAATTTGATTTGGGCAACTAAAACACATGGTCAAGGTTTTGTTATGATTAGCTTGAGGCAACAAACATGCCTATTCAGTCAGTAATAAAAAGGTGAACATCAGTTGCGGGTCTGCAACTGGGACTCAAATCTCAGTCTTCTGCATGAAAGTCTGTATGTAAATGTTGAGTCGTGAATTGTCCAATAATGGATGTAAGTCCGAGAGCTACTGGGTTGTATTACCTGATGTCAAAACATCTTAATTTTATTTTACTTTCTTCTTGGAAGCATCAGTCCAAGCTTTTCACCTGAAACGGTTCTTTAAGTCAAACAAGCTAGTAGGCCAGCAAACACTAGTGAAAACCAGTGAGTGAAAA